ATACGTATATACTTCCACAACAATTTTTATAACTTCATAGACCTAATAATATTGCAAAATACCTTCTTCGACTCATATATGGTCTGGTATAATTTTAAACATAGCAAGTTCGTTACAATTAACGGATAACTCGATTAACTGTTTATCCAGTGAGTGATTCTCGCCTAATCTCCGAGGAAACGCGACCACTTGGCGGAGGGGGACGTAAAAGGGGGAAAAACGGGAGCGTCGACAAATTCGATAATACGGTCCCGAAAGAGCATCCGTCCGTTCGAAAGGCCGGTGAATCGAAACGGAAGCCGAAACTCGCGTCTCGTTTAAATCAGAGCAGTTAAACGCGGCGCTCCGCGTGTGCGGGACGCGCGCCCCCGTTTTCGACAAAACTCGCGTGCCGAGAAGGTATTGTCGACCGATGAATAGGGGCGGACCTAATTCGTATAATTGCGGGACGCGTTCGCCATTCTTTCGCGACGATACGCGGTATTCCGCGGCATCAAACGCGCGTACGCGAACGCTGGTAACCAACCAACGACAGGAGACAATTACACGCGAACGCGGAAACGGAACGCTCGTTCATCCGCGAACGGTTTCCATCGTTCCAACTCTGATAGAGTCCGCTGATTATATGAAAAAAGAATAGGATGTAAAATGGTACTTGTAAAAAAGGATCCAAGACCTCGAGGGCTCGTGTTCACCGACAGGATAAGCGTTGCTTCGCGTGTCAACGCGCGTCTGAGCTATTTGAGCCTATAACCACCTGATCCGAAGATCAGCGAGTTATATGTATATCTACCCTCCGGGCGTTGCACCACCAAGTGGTTTAGACCCAGAATTACTAGCCCTCTCGACACCACGAACCTTCAAATTGCGCAATTGCGATAGAGCCTGTGAGCTGTAAATGATGATACTATATCTAAATTAACATATTTACATCTGACTGATGAAAAGGATTAATTTCACAATTAAATTTCTATGAGATACGTTCACTATTGTAGGAGTTAGAATGTTTCTGCCTCGAGTGGCATTTGCGTACATTTATTTTAACACTGCCATCAGAAGTGCCAAACTCTCGTTTTAATTCCATTCATAAAACATCCCGTCGCAGTTCGATTATTCAGAGACACTTTGTGTATCCTGTACGTGACTCGATGCGATTTCCTTTTTCGTGGACAGCGTCGCGACGCGATCAGACGCCCGTCGAGGAACTGGTACCACGAGAAATGGTCCCGTGCAAACTCGGACCGTGTCTCGCGTACACGGAATTGATGACGAACGGGGGGGTGGAACGGGAGCGTTCGCGAGCACGTTCCCCGGGGGTAGACAGCCCCAGCTGGGAAAGGTGGAAGCAAGAGCGACGCGGAAGTCCGACTTTTCGATCGGTCGCGCGTCTGCTGCTGCTGGCGGCTCGAGAGGGTGGAAAAAGTATGCTCCCCGCTTCCGACGTGGCGGCGGAAATTGAAGAAGTTGCGCGAGACGGCGCTGAAAATTATTTATTACTCGGCCGTCCTCGCGCTACGTACCGATGCCTCTTCTTTTTACGAGCGACCGCGGTTTCCCAGGCACTCGTTGGTCGCCAAGTTTAGCCTCCGTCGGGCCTTCAAGGTCCCTTGCACCATGGCTGATCGCGAACTTCGATCTCCAGGTGCGATTAACGCCGAGGCAGAGTCTCACGGAGACCACACACGCGGGTTTTTTTTAATAGTAACAATAGGAGCGGCGAGAAAAATTTATTACTAATCAGTTGCCAATTATTTAATTAAAATACACTTTCATTTGAAAATAGTGATAGTTGTAGAAATCTGCAGAGTTAGTTTAATATATTTGCAAGATAATATTGATCATAGGATCTCGTATAGAAGAGACATCGACAAGGTAGAAGGAAAAATCTTGCGATTTATCCTAGCAATTTCCAAGTACGCTTAAAGAATTTAATTTCCTTGACTAAGCGTTCCGTCGGTCGCAATTAAAACGGTGCTCATCCGGCAATAAAAAGTATCGTCGCAGTATACCCACTTTCGATCCGTGGCATCTTATTTTCAGCGACGCGGATTCCCTGGCCACCGAGACAAAAGGATGCAGTTGTTAGGTATCAGCGTGCACGGGGCTCTCTTTTCCCCGGGAAGCCTTTATCGAAACGCTAAACGCGGAAGCAATATCGACGGCGACTGCCGGCTCAAAGCTCGATCGTCGCGCTCTCAAAGCGAAAGAATGGTTCTAGTTTCCGTCGAGGAATTCGAATTTTCTCCCAGATTCACTGCGTTACATTTCCAAGCAGTTTCTCGTGTCCATTGCAGACGTCTAATGCGACAAAAGCGACGACGAGGAAGGGGATTGTTAAGAAAAATCTGCATCCGTCGGAATAATCCGCGAACATTGACGCGGAGCTCGTTTAAATTAATTGACGAGGAAAATGATGATATTTATTAAATAACGTGAATCCAGTTTTATCGTACACCAGTTGTATAATCAATAGAGATTGGTGGAACTTCAGTGGGTACATAGGGTCAAAGTAAATGTCAAAATAAACATAGAAGATAGCATAAATTATAGTAGCAAGTATAGTCATTGGATAGGGGATGAAACGCCCTTTAAAATGAGCGTTTGTACGAGTCGATAGCTTTATTAGTTCCGGAGATATAGCGATTTTAGTTTCAAGTCGCTGCGGTGGCTAATTTCGAAGATACGTCGCGTGGTCAATGAACTTACTACGGCCTTGTCAAGGTCGTTGACCGCACGTGACCGTAGTAAATAGTAAACGTGACGTCACTCAGTCACTCGGTCAGTGGGTCAACGTGCGACAAGGAGGTCCGACGCGACGCGTTAGACGGAGACAGCGATAGTCAAATTAAGAAAAATTACCTTTTACATAAATTACGATATCTCGAAAACGGAAAGTCCGATCGACAAAATTCAAAAGCCATTTTAAAGGAGAAGCCTCACCGCTGCCAACAGAGGTTCAATTATTAATAAATCACTAATAGTTTTGGAACTGCACGCATCCAAAGTTTTATGATTTTTAATACGCGTTAATAGGCCTTTCTGAGGCGCTGATCGAGATCCTAGTCGAATTAAGATAAATTACCTTTTACATAAATTACGATATCTCGAAAACTATAAGTCGGATCGTCAAAAACCAAAAACCATTTTAAAGGGGAAGCTTCACCGTTGCCAACAGTGGTTTAATTATTAATAAAACATTAATAGTTTCGAAACTGCGCACGTCTAAAGTTTTAGTATTTTTAATACGCGTTGTTAATGCGTTTCTAGTCGATCCATTAGCATAAGTAGAAACAGCGAGTAATGAACAGACGCATCAAATCATATACAATTGCTTCGATATGTACGAACGTTCCAGCGTGCAATAAATGGTAAAATGTCCGAATTTCGTGTTTGGGGAGTTCGGTGACGAGGAGCCTGGAACTTTGACAATATCGTTACCTCGGTGCGTTCCTACACCTGCGCCCGTGCTTTTTTCAATCGCGCAAAGAGTCGTGCGTTTTTGCCGCACCGGGCCCCCTCGTTCCAGGGCGCGTTTTTATTCGAAACACTTTATATTTTATATCCAATCAGGCCGTTCCCGGGCGCGGCGGGCTCGTTCGAGCCTTTCACGCGTCGGGGCTAACATAAATGGATATTCCGGGCGTTCTTTTCTTCCGCCGTGTGTCGGTCGGGGGCTGGCAGCAGTTTCGCATACGCCGGGGCCCCCGTACGTGTGCACGGGGGACTCCGCAAGGTGAGACGAATGGCGGTGCCCGAAGAATGCCGGGACAAAAGGAGCCCAGAAGTATAACGCGCGTGACTCGTCGAGGCTCACGGCGCGCGTTCGCGGTCCGGCCTGTCCGCTCGCTCCGAGCTAAATTAAATTCTAATAAAGCTCGCCGAAAAGCCGAGAAAAAACCAGGGGGCCCCTGGACTCGTTCACGGTGGAACAATGGCGTTGGTAGGCGTCGTCGGCATTGCGCGTCCAGCCGACGGCGAACCGCGGATAATTATATTGAGGCGGCGACCAGGAATCCCGCAGAAAAACTTGTCTTCGGGCCTACGGAGATTCGAACGCCGCCTACGGGTTAACTAACTCGCTGATTCCCCTTGGCTCTGGGTGTCTGGGACTAGGTGTGTCGTCCCCGAAACGCGTCGGGACCGAGAAAAAAGGCGATCGACGAAAAAGGCGACGCGATGAATAGTTTCTCCCCTCCGCGAATCTCGTGGACCTCGTCGCCCCTCTCGTTTGGGGAATCCGAACCACGCTGTGCGAAATCCTGATTCTCTCAGGAGAAACGAACGCGTTATATTGTACGCGTATTTCAAATTGTGCAAAGTTATTTAGCTGTATTATCGCGAAGCGGTCCGCATGGACTGATTAACAGAGAGTTCGTTACGGTAAATTTTTCATGCATCTTTTCAATTTCACGGCAATATGAATCAGCGTTAATCGTCCGTTCGGCCCTCTGGGAACAAAAAGCAAACTTGTACAGTTCGTTACACCATCATCGTGATCTTTCGATGATCCACACCTTTTGCAGAAAGTAATTTTACGAAATATTAAGAGGAGTTCTTCTAAAACTGTTGCAGTAGCGATATCAAATCAGTTGATTGTTGCAACTAATTAGAAGCTAGTGTAGAAGGTATAAAATATAGCAGAACTCTCCCTACTGTATGAAGATTGCAAGTCGAAATCTCCATTAATTACTAGATAGGTACAACTTTAGATCGGACCCAAGCTACCGATTTACGGTACTCTACCTCCTTTATACAATTTCTATACAGATTACTGCAAGCATTGCAACTGAAAGCCAAACGATTCCCAATAACGTATTCGATGGGGGGTTTGAGGAAACTCGAAATACCTAGTGCGAAAGTTCGCGATCCAAGGTATCTCGGTTTCATCCGAGCTCGCGTGGGATTCTAAAACGAAACGGTTCGACGGTATCGTACGTTATCCTAATGTTTTTACTGGTCGATTGGCGCAGAGTTTAATGCAAAGTTATTGCTCTTTTCAGGATCGCCACGTGAAGAACGCCAGCGGGGATCCCCAAATGGACTCGAGCCAAGACTATTATCTGCAACTGGGTTACGAGAACAAGACGCACACGGTTCTTCGTTTCAGCAGGCAATACGATACGTGTGACCTGCGGGACCTCAAGATCACGGTAGGTGGTTTGATTTATACGGATTCCCGGTGTAAAAGATAATTTCGACCGTGTGATAGCAGGAGAAATTATCTACCTCTGCTCCTTGCTATTGATTTTTTTGAAGTTTCTTTCGAAGAGCTGGAAACAAATCTGTAGAAACATCCATTTTAATAAGCACATATTAATTGCTCGCGAATGCTGGGCCGCGTGTTCTCGATTTATTGCAAGATATTGCATCGCGCGAACGATCAGCGGAAAATTAGGGTAACGTAGGATCTGTCTCTCGTAGCTACGCAGAATCGACGGAGCACAAATGAAATTCATTACACGTTGCAATTAACTTTAATTGATCAGCATTGCGCGTTGTAAATTCGGGTCACGGTTCGGTCGCGCCAATGAAAGTGACAGGTATTCCTGAACGTGTTTCACGGTCGGCCAATCGGATCGAGTCACGGTCTAACAGAATCGCAGGACGATATGTAGGGCTCGTCGGTGTGAACATTTTAATAGCTCTAATTCGGAGGCTCGTTAACGCCTTGCAGCCTTTCGTTCCCCAGGATTTCGACCCAGTTCTTTATTTTCCCAGTAATTAACTCAAAAGTAGTCCGCTCGTAGAAATGACTATTTCGTTCCGTGTTGCGATTTGCTCGAGCCGTTCCAGCCTACGATTTATGGCAGTCGAGGTGACCGTGTCTGAAAAATTGCCCTGTTAATGGCTAAATATTAATTGGCAAGGATTTGAAACTATGGAACACTAAACGTCTTTTAATTACCGATCACTCGTAATTACGCGTGTCCACTCGACTACAGAATCTTAGAAATGCTTCGTGAAAACAGCGAAACGAATTTTGTTGCTACGAGTAGAATTGTTATTGCTCTCTGAACGAGTGAATAAAATTTGGCCAACTCTGGCGCAATCATGAAGCTAGTTGACACGTCGCGCTAGACGAACGATGTTTGTTCGCGTTCTGTGTACGCGTAAATAATCGGCGCGTGCAGTGCAAATATTGGCCAGCGAATGCAAAGTTGAAGACAAACGTTGGCACACTGACGCGCGGAATTTTCACGCGAAGATGCTGAAACAGGATTGCTTTGTCAATAAAACAATTAGAACATTATCGATGTTTGCTGAGAAAGCTACCTTCAAAACTTACCATTCTAGTTTTTTTATTATTCAAAGTCTCGTAGGAAATCTGTATTAATAATAACGATATCAAAGTGATATAATGGTATTTAATACATAGAGTACGAATTGCATGAAATTGGAAAAGCTTATATGCTTGACATTACAGATTAATACTATCGGTATTAATTATATATTTATTAGATTAATTATTGCAAGAATTGGTTACGAATAGTAATGACATCAAAGCCGTATAACGACGGTTAATATATTCAGGAATAAAAATTGCCTGCCATCGGGAGAGCTACGATCATTGGATTTAATTATTAAATTATTGCATCGATCGGTGAAAGAATTTCAAAGTGACACAATACATTGGAAAATGAAACGAATGATCCTTACGTTGACCCGTTTCAAGTCCTCCCGAGCTGTCTCAAAATTAGATTTATGCTCGAAGATCGTATCGTCCTGACCTACACTGGATTTAACGATCTGAATTTTTCGAAAGGGTTATTTCCTACATCGAATAGTCGTGTCTCCCCGATAATGGAGATTCCAGGAAACCACTCGGTGATGTCGAACGAGTAGAATTTCAAGTCTCTGTGCAGACGGAGCGGCCCATTAATTTCCGTGGCGGTCTAAATTATTCAGATGAAGATTTCAGAATCGCGTTGTCGCGTCGACCGATCTTCTTCACGTAGCCGCTAACCGCGTTTTAGAAAAACGGTTAGAGGGCTACCTGGTGATCCCGATCTCTCGAGAATCCGTTACGGGAGAGGCAGAAGGTCCCGCGCGAGTCCAAGGAGCCCAGTCTAGCAGTTGAGTCATCAAAATAGTTGGGTGCAAAAATAAAGCGAGCCACCGCGGGCCGAGATTCTATCGGGACGACAAACGACGAAGTCAGCTCCCCTTTCCTTTATCTGATCGCGTGATGTATCGGTACCCTACATGATATTTTTACGCGTCACGTTCGCCAACCGGGACAACCCTAACCCCGCGTTATGCCCTGCGAAAAGGTACCGCTCCGTATCCGTACCAGGACCCGTGATACTTTAAATGGGCCTCAGCGAGCTCTGTACAACGTACGTTCGTAACAGGGTTATCGGCGATCAGGGACGCAACGTATGGCCGGGTCTTCCTTTCAAAAGAAAATCACGCTCGCTTTAGAAACTTGTTTCGCGAGTCTCGCAGCGGGGATCCAGGTCTCGGCGAAGAAACGAACCCAGAACGTGGAATTAAATTTTTTTCCGGTGGAAGTCGGTCTCGAAGTTGGGTCTCTCTTCCGGTCGACGATCCGCTGATACGAACAGCCTGTTATAAAAATCTTATTCGTCGAAGAAATACCCTGGTTTTCTACTATATTTATACATTCCGTGTTTTACGTCTTGTTTGCCGATGCATGGATTCTCTTATTCGTTATTCGACACGCTCGAAGAGAAGCTCTTTTGACATCCAATGCAAAGATTGAGATTTCTTTTTCCCCGGCAACAAACAGTATTTTCTGCACGTTGTCTTCGATAGAAGATACCCATCCACCGTTTTCCTATCTTCTGCGCGCGTGTATAACAAGCTTGTTTTGACATTTTCTTAGCTGGTTCGAAGTTTGAGAAAATGTCTCTTTCAACGTTCTTTTGTCGCGTCGATTGGGTGATTGGGTACATATTTAACCTGTTGAGATTCGAGGTAACCGTAATTAAACGATGCTCGCCGGAAGTCCAAAGTATTTTCCTGGTGCCTAAGGTGGGAACCGCGACGTGCACGACAATATGACAAGAAATCGACGTTTTATTCGATACGAGACGAGCGAACTAAATAGGCAGACAGAAAGGGGGGGGGGAAGACGGATAAGAATGTGAAAAGCAGCCCGTTCCTTGTCAAATTACGGATACACGGTGTACGTAAACGCGACGGCGTCCTCGATATCGAGCGTCGCTGGAAATTGCCAATAGCGGTCCCGCCACGGGCCCCTCGAACCATTGTTATTTCTACCGACAACCGCGCTGGATTAATCGAATGAACATCAAATTAAGCGATACGCCCCGTCATAACCGGCTTATGTGGAAGAGGGCTTCGATTGCATATTAATATTGCGCGACTGCCCCTCCTTTGGCCTCGGTACGCAGACAGTCTCATCAACGGTACGTGAAATTAAGCCTGACTACGCCCGCGGATGACGTACAGCGCAGAAAGGGTCCTGAGGTCGTATTCACAGAGCGTGGCGTCTCGTGTGCTCGTAATTAGTTCATTAACGACTACGCGGGCACCAGAGGAAACGCGTGATATTTCGCGAAATATGTATTTTTTCGTAATTAGGCTTCCCCCCCACGCCTTATGTAAATCCCGTCGACGGAGCAGCGCTGACTAAATAATGATTATTTCGTTAGCTCTAACGCGCAAACGAACTTCCCAGAGGTGTCTCCTACCGGGCTTTTCATCCCCTAAAGCTTGGCGTTTCTGTATAATTCGTTACATTCGGATCTTTGTGATCTTAATATTAATTTCTTGCACATCGATTAACTTAGAACGGTCTTCAGAGTCTCGTAAGAAGGTTCGATCGGCTAGTAAAGAAAAAGTGTGATATTTTAATTAGTACTACAAAAGTGTTCAGTTTCGATGCAGAACAAAGCTTATTATTATCTCAGACAACGAAATTTTTTATATCTCACTCAAGATCTGATAAATGGTATTTTAACCAGCTTTTCGGCTCGAATACTCGACTGTACGTCGACTCGGTGTCGGGACAAAGAACGATCCACAAGTCCCGGGTCCACGTCCGGCCCAATTTCGCGTTTCCTCGCAACAAACAGTTTCGTTCCCCCGTATCCGATAAATTTCCCCGACGCGACGACGGGGTCCTGTAAGTCAGTCACCGACGGTGAACTCTCCTGTGTCGGATGTCGACGGTGGAAACCGCAAAAGTTCCTGGTCGACGCGTACCAACGGATTCCCCTTTGAGTCGGTCCTCGTGCCAGCAAGGATTTCGCCGCGAAGCATTATGCAATAGCTTGGCAGCCGGAATCGACGTCACCCGTTAGAGCTACCACTTTGCTGGCGGCCCTTTTTCGGCCGCGGAATCCTCCGGAGTGCGATGACGGGGCGAAACTGTGAATCGTGGGTATCGAAAGCGGGTGGGAGGGGAAAAATTGAGAGAAAGCGCCGGAAAAACAGAGGACAGAAAAGAAGGACGAGAAAGAGAGAGAGAGACGGTTACGAGTTGGAGGATGTGCACGCGAACGTTACCAGTAGGGAGATTGGTGCGCCTTGCAGAGGGGGATTGGCTAGCCTGACCCGGTTCTGCTTCTATTCCCTTCCTATCTGTAGCCGTATCTAGTTTACCACTTCGCTCCTCGGTCGGCTGGCTGGCTGGCTGGCCAGCCCTATAGTAGCCAACGCGAACTTCCTGAATAAGGTCCTCCCTGGGCGCTAGAACTGATCGCTATTCCGAATGGTTCGGTTCGGGTGTAAAAGGAAAATCGAATTTGACCGATGCCTTTGGGAGCAACGAGGAGACGTTACGGCCCTGGCGGAAGGGGGACAGCGGGAGGGTCGCCAGGTGCAACGACGATCTTATTGGGTGGATCCGTATACTCGTAGCGTCGCGACGGAGGGCGCCAGGGGGATTTCGCCGGAAGCTACTATCCGGAGCGACCGGGAAATCGAATCAACGTGGAAGGAGATTCCGCGGGGCTACGAGTACCAGATTACATACGTTTGGAGACAATTATTGGCAGGAATTTGATTTCTACGTCACACTGGCTGCGGCAAATTGTTGCGTTAATCGGCTGTTTCGAGGCCATTACGTGCCGGGGAACGCTCACCAAGATCGATACGATCTTTTCTCTTATCGACGAACGTTGACGCAGGCTATTTTAATACGTAATCCTATCTGTCCTTT